AAATGAGAATAAGAGAACGAGCGAAGAAGGAGCGAGAAAGGGAGATACAGGTTAAGAGAGATTGGCAGTAATATGGTCGTTGAATCAGATAATAAATTCGAGAAGACGATCAAATGAGTTACCTGATTGACCTGTGTTTTTTATTTTACTGTGTGTGTGAATTTTGTTAAAGGTAGAATTTAGATTTATGCATATGAATCATTGCGTATCGGCGTATCAGTGATCATAGTAAAGCAGTACAGAACGGACAATTTTGAGTAATTAATAACTCTTAGTAACTTAGTAAATAATTATTAACTAACAAGTAAATAATTTGCATTTACCACCTTGACATTAGCTTCTAAAGCACGAGCATTAAGGCACGTGAGAAGGCGTACACCATGCTTGGCTAGTGAACGCGTCTCATTTTTCATGAGTATGTCAATGTTTTGTTATGATGCCAGAACGTAATGTCCATATTCTAGCCAACGGTTAACAATTAGTCGATGATGTTGGTGATGATGGTGATCCAGATTCCACACGATCAATTACATTTATTTTTACACGCAGCGAGCGCATAGCTAAATGAAAGCAGGTTGATGAATGGTTGTCAATCGGCTACAATTAAATCTGCGAATGTTTGACAAAAAGATAAACATACGCGTAAATATAGTACCACGAGTGAGTGAGGGCCACTGTGGTGAGGGAACGCGCGGACCCAACACAGCGCACGCTCACGATACTATGTTTATACAATGTGTCGCTCACGCCCACTAAACTCTCTATACGTATTAACATATATAATATTGAGTTTGTTAATATAATAGAGATCAGTGCTCATGCCTCGCACACACTGTGTAGTACATATATATATACGTCTACCGGGCATAATGACTATAGCTCTTAGTATCTCCTAAATATACGTAGTTCTACTTTGGTTATTGTAAATTACCCATCGCACAAAACATGAACTTTTAAATTGTTCGATATAATCATATTATTTTGTAATTTGCGTTGTTTGTGCACACTTGTGCTTTACAATTCATACTTTATCTTCAACTCGTCCTCCTTGTAGGATCCGTGGCATAGCCAGGATTTTTTAATAGGGGGGGGGGGCAAAAACAGCAAACTGCGCAAAATGGTGGATGACTTAATATTTTAATGGTTTCTCCGCCTCCCTCTCTCCACACCCTACGTTCCTCCACCTTTCAGCTCTGCAATCTTTGTTTCAGGCGCTATATGCATGAAGGCGACATTTTTGTTCGTTGTTCTCTGCTACCAAGATATATACAAGGAGGGGGTGAAAAACAGGCGGGGGTATGGGGTCCTCCTCCAGAAATTTTTTAAAATGTTGATCGCAGGAGATGGTATTTGAAGCACTTTTGAGTACATGTACAGCCTTCATTCTGACTAGGATAAAACTCTTTTTAGTAGAACAATTCTTTTTTCTTTTTTTAAATTTTTACTTTCGGATTAACAGGGGGGCCATGGCCCCTTTTGCCCCTCACCCCCTAACTACGTCACTGTGTAAAATGGTAATCGTATCATATCACAATCATATAGTTCATTGTGACGTTATTATGTATAATGTATGTTTTCGTTAGAATTCGTATCTTTATCTGTTTTTGTCGCTATTGAAAAGTATATATATATCAAGGAGTCTCTATTATGGACTCGAACACCCATGTAGATAAAAAACAAATTGAAATAATAGGTTTAAGATGTTTAAAAGTTAATTAAATTTAATTAAAATTATTTGAATTTGTTTTATATATATATATATATATATATATAATACTATATATATATGAAGCGGAGAGAAGAGAGAGAGAGAGAGAGAGAGAGAGAAAGAGAGAGAGAGAGAGAGAGAAAGAGAGAGAGAGAGAGAGCGAGCGAGAGAGAGAGAGAGGTATAAGATTTGTTCCAGCCTATACACGATCTTGTTTCTACTAGTTATAAGCCATAATACCCGTGACAGTGTTTTGCAGAAATTTATTCTACTAATACTAAGTAAACTATTTCAAAACAATCCATTAGTATTACGATAAATAAGAACTGATGTATACATTATCGATTATTGTGACATTAAAATAGTATTTCATAAAACCTTTTTTCTCGTGCATTTATGCGAAGGCTACAGATTTCCCATAAATGTGTTAACATATGTCCAGTTTATTATGGAATCGAATATTTATATCATTACTGTAAGCCCCACAAATTGGAACCTTTCTGCGAAGATTGTAAGTTATTATCGACCAATTATCATACGCAGGTGCTTATTGAAATTACGTAAACGGTAAATAATGTTAGGATAGCAAAAGCGCACAAAAGCAATAAACGGTACATGTGAAACCGATGAATGAAATGACTTTCAAGAACGCCTGATCGAGAAGTCTCATAGATTAAGTATATATAATTAAGAGCGTATAAAGGAGCCTTCTTAATACGCTCTTGATATAATGTTTAATGTTTGTATGTGTGGTGTGTGTGCGTGTGCATGTGTAGGTGTGTGTGTGTGTGTGTGTGTGTGTGTGGGTTGTGGTGTGTGTGTGTCTGTGTTGTGTGTCGTGTGTGTGTGGCATGTGTGTTTGGCTGAATGTGTGTTGTGGTGTGTGTGTGTGTGTGTGTGTGTGTTGTGTGTGTGTGTCGATGTGTGGTGCTGTGCGCAAGCACTGCGCCACCTGCGGGTTCCTCTAGCGCGGACAGTGCGCTGAGTGCGGGCAGCTGCGTGAGTTGCGTGGCGTGCGTGGCGTGAGTGCGTTGCGTGGGGTGAGTGTTGTGTGTGTGTGTGGTGTGTGTGTGTGTGTGTGTGTGTTTGTGTGTGTGTGTGTGTTTGTTTGTGTGGCTGCCAATATTTTTCGTGAGTCGCTACGCCTCGTATGCGTCTACGTGTGGTGTGTGTGTGGGCAGGCCTTCGCATGGCTGTTCCTACTGGCATGCTCGAGCGGAAGTATCGTGTCCGATTCTGGCAAATAATGAATGCCATTCAGCGGTGCAAACTCACAGCATATACGACTGTAGATGCTACACGATCTGTGTTTTCATTATTCATCGATCATCAGATGTACGTTTTGGTGCGCTACCATGATAAGCGCCGAATAACGGTGGGGCTAACTTACATGAATTCCTTTTACCGCGTTTTGGTATTTTGCCAAGCAAGTGAATAGAGCGTGCGGCGGGAAAAGAATATATTTAATTAACTATACAATGATAATTTATTATCTAAGATTAATTATTAATAATAGTGGCTACGCGATCGCGCTGAC